ACTCCTTATGACTGCAAGGACCCTATTTCCAAATAAAGTTACGTGTGAAGGTACTGGAGTTTAGGGCTTCATATGAATATGAGGGAGGGGGACACAATTCGATGCACAGTGGGAATTAACTTCCTATGAGGTCCTGTCTGACACAGCTTCTGTCCCTGAACTGGGCCTTTCTCCCTTTCATTCACTGCCTTTCTCCAACCCCAGGGCCTTAGCACATTCTGTCCCTCTGCCAGACACACTCATGCTCACAGTCTGCTCTCAGTGCACCCCCAACACAGACTTCTCCCTCCAGTTGTGTTCCTCCAGAGAACCCTGCACTAGCATTCCCACTGGATAATGATCCATTTACCTGTGTGGCTGCCTGTGAGAGCCAAAAGCATGGGAACCATGTCTATTTCCCTCCACTGTACTCCCAGTCCAGTGTCAGGGCCTTGCACACAGGAAAACCTTTGTCAACTTAAAGAACTTTGCCCAAAGAGGTCAAGTGAATGGCCAAGGCCATGTGGTAGGTTCATGGCAGAGTGGGCCTACATCCCGGGTCTCCTGACTTTGGGTCTCATGACATTTAAGGGATGTGTTTGCGCTCTGGCCTTCCAGTAGTAGGCTCACCAAGTCTCACCAGGGCCTGCCGGCCACAGAGGAGCACCCTGATGTTTTGATGGGACTGTGGCCTTGTACAACTCCCCTCACCTTATGCCTGGAGTTCTTGCTGTCTTTAGAGTGCTTTCTTCTGTGTCTGGAGTCCTTTGGAACCCAGGCTGTCACTTCCCTATGGGACAGTGACCTCTGTCTCCCCCACCCCTTGGAGGTGAAAAGGGCTGTAGCCCTGGGCCCTTGGCTTCCCTGTCCCAGGCCCTGCAGACTCCTTTCTGCTGGTGCTGAGGCTGATGTAAGAAGTCCTAGTCCAGAGCCTGGTAGCCATGGGCTGTTGCCTGGCAACTGTCTCTGAGAGACAAGTTTAAGGTAGGGTCTTGGGTCTTGGATGTCTTGAGCAACTTGGACATCTGGAGAGAAGGAATCAGGCAGGGAGGGCCATCACCACCCCTTCCTGCCTGCCTGGGCTCACAGCTCCAGAGCCTCCCCTGAACCCATAGCCCCTGTGGTTCCCATAAGCCACAGATTCTAACCCCAACCCCCCATGTGACTCTTTCCACCCCCTCGATTCTCCCCACATTTATTCAGAGTCACCACAGTGCACCAAAGAATTGATGCTTTTGTACTGTGATGCTGGAGAAGACTCTTGAGAGTCCCTTGGACTGCAAGGAGATCAAACCAGTCAATCCTAAAGGAAATAACCCTGAATATTCATTGGAAGGACTGTTGCTGAATCTGAAGCTCCAATACTTTGACCTGATGCCAAGAGCTGACTCATTGGAAAAGACCCTGATACTGGGAAAGAGAGAAGGCAGGAGGAGAAGGGGATGACAGAGAATAAGACAGTTAGATGGCATCACTGACTCAAAGGACATGAGTTTGAGCAACTCCAGGAGTTGGTGATGGACAGGGAAGCCTGGCGTGCTGCAGTCCATGCAGTCACAAAGAGTCAGACACGACTGAGTGGCTGAACAACAACAACAGCAACCGCACTGTACCAACCAAAGGAAGTAGAATAATGGTGTGAAAATTTCCCCCTGGAGCTGTGAAATGGAATTTCTCCCATTCACTCATTTATCCCAAATCATCTTATGAAGGGCCCACAGCATTGCCAGGCCCTGGAAAAATGGATGCATCAGGCTTGAACCCTGCCTGGAAGCACAAGGCTAGTAGGACACACACATGTGTGTGCACAGGTAGTGAGTGACACATGGGAAGTCAGGGAAGCTGAAGGGCTGTGGGTTCCAGAGAGTTGACCCTAGCCAAGGCCCCACTCCCCACACAACCTTGGCTGCCAGCAGTCCCTCTGCTCCCAGCCCATGCACACCTGCCACACACACAGCAGGCCCTGTGTTTCACCCCAGTGCACCTTCACTCGTGGATATGGCTAAGATGCCTGAGCACCTACTGTATGCTTTGCCACTGTGTTTACACACTCTTCCTCCATCCTGCTCTTGTTGCTGCCTGGCTCTTCGAACTCCCTGCCTAACTCCTACCCCATCGGTCAGGCCAAACTGTCCACCACAGGGTCCCACCTTTTCTGTAGCTGGAAAGATGGACTTATGCCTCACGTCTGACCAATCATGGCATCCTATCACTTTGTCTTTGGTCATCGGCCCATATGGCCATCATGTGACCCAAATAGAACCAATCAGCTCTCTCCCATGAGATCTGAAATTTGGACACAGGAAAAGAGTAGGTTTACTGCTTTTGGATCAAGCTCTCTAAGGGTATAGGTTGAGGTTTGTCAGGAGCATCTCCCATGACTCCTGGAGGACCAGGGCTCTGGGAGGCAATACACCAGGAGGCCTGGGCATGCAGAGCTGAGAGACGGGAGAGAAGGGGTATCCTGATAGAAATGCATGCATGGACACACCCTCAGTCAGGTACACCAATCTAAAAACACAGTGCTAGTTAAAACAATTCGCCCAGGCCGGTCGTCATGTATCACCAACTTTATTGACAAGAATTCGGGTCAGAATTTTCCCACAGGGCCTCCCAGCCACCCTTGTAGAAGTGGCTCACTTGCCCCAGGAATCAGGAAAGCAAGAAATGCTGGAATGCCAGGGATCTGCTTCCCTCAGACCCCCAGACCCTCCTCAGGGGAACCCTAGAATGAGGACTGGGCCTCCAGCCTCCAACCTCTGTACAAGCTCTAGTTTTGTACACTTCCTTCCCCTGATGGGGCCTCACTCTCCCCCAAGCCCTGCCCCCCGGTTCTTGGCCTCTGAACCTCAACTTCCCTTCCTGTGCCCTGTCGTGTTCTTACCCCCAAGGACTGGAAGACAGAGAAGCCACTTCATGAAAGAGAAGGAGGCTGCCTCCACTCTACAGTCTGTTATGCCTCCAACCTCACCCACTGCAGTACATGGCAGTCTACCCCAGATGACCCCTTTTCTTCCCAAATCCCCGGAGGCAGGCACACTGGGACAACCACTGCCATTTTATGATGGGGAAACTGAGGCCCAGAGAGCTCAAGGCTGGATAGGATCTGGAGGTCTCCCAGGTTGTGATTCCCACATTTTCTCTGAGGACTCCCTACCCTCTGAAGGGTGGGGGTTGGGAGTTTAGCAAGAGTTACCACCCTCCTCAGAACCAGTCTCGCTGTGACTCTAAGGGGTCATCTCGGGGAGGGAGCCCAGGCCAGCCCAGGCACAGCCTTGGACAGTGGCCTCTCCCTATGGTCTCCCTCCAGCCTGCTCTAGTCTTTTCTTCCTTGAGCCTTCCCGACCTGGACCTGGGGAATGTGAGAGGCCGGGAGGCCTGCTCCCCAGCCTGCCAGGGCCGTACCACTCCTCCCAACCTCTCTGGGGAGCCAGGCCCTGCTTCTCAGCTCTGCCCCCAGGCTCCCATCAAGGCCCAACACTTCAGCGTGCTGCAGGCCCTCAGGGGTTGCTGGCCCCACACCTTTCAGGGCGTTAGCTTTCCCACCCTGACGGCATCCTTTCCTTGAGTTCAATCAGGCCAGGCACTGACTGGCAACTCAGTTTCATTGAGACTGCCACTGAACTCAGCCCAGAGGGGCCAACGTTGGCCCCAAGGTCATGAGACAGGTCTGACTTCCACTTCTTCTTCCTTCCCCTCCCCGTCCCCCATCTCTTCCTCCTTTTTCTTCCCCTCTCCCTCCTCCTCTCCTTCCTCTTCCTTTCACGTCTGTTTAGACATGCTGCCTTTCCATTGCCAGTCTGCCCAGGCCGGGTCCCTGCCTTAGTCAATGAGAGGGGAGAAGCAGGGAGAATTTCTCCTACAAGACAGCTCCTGAGCCCTCGAAGACCCCGAGACCCCCTCCAGCCATAGGACACAAAGCAAGCTGCTTTGAGGGTTGGTCAGCTGCCTCCAACAGGGCCTGAGCTAGCCTTTGGGGGGGGCCTATGCAACATGGGGTCCTTGTTTAAGAAAAGGAATACGAAATTACAAAGACAAAATTTGACTCAGAGCCTCAGAAGGGCCCAAGCAGTCAGGGACCCTGAAGCTGAAGTTAATTAGCTTCCTGGAAACTCTGCCTCTTCTCCTCTTGTCCAGGAACACAGGAGTCCTGGCACTGACCATCTGGGCCAAGAAGGCCTGGAGGTTATTGGGTTGTTCAGCAGGTGAGGCCTGAGGTCCAGAGAGGAGAAGGGCTGGCCCTCGGCCTTGCAGCAAGAGGAGCAGAGCTGACGTGGGGCCTGGGCAGTCTCACACCCCTTCTCTCTACCAGGGAAGACTTCCTCCTATTTGGAGCTGCAGTACTGACCCCTATGAATACTGGGCCCCACTCCCTCTTTTGTGAACCTGACTGAGCCCAGGAAATCCAAGGCCTTGGTTTATCCCTCTGAGGGCCAAGATTCAGGAATCTCTGTCTCTGAAGGGGAGAGCCCATCTGTACCTCTCCCCTTGTTTGTGCTGTGCGTGCTAAGTCGCTTTAGTCGTGTCTGACTCTTTGCGACCCTGCAGAATGTAGCCCACCAGGCTTCGCTGTCCATGGGATTCTCCAGGCAAGAATACTGGAGTGGCTTGCCACGCCCTCCTCCAGGGGAACTTCCTGACCCAGGGATCGAACCCTCATCTCCTGTGGCTCCTGCACTGCAGGCAGATTCTTTACCCCTGAGCCACCAGGGAAGTCCCACCCTCCCCTTATCCTGACCCTATTCAGGAAGATCAGCCCAGCAGTGATGCCCCTCCAGACTTTTCACTGGATAGAGCTCATCGAGGCTGCTGTCTCCCATCTCTGAGTCACAGGGGAGAACACAAGGCCCAGAGAGGGGGAGTCACCTGTCTGAGGTCACACAGTAAGTCACATGGCAAGGGGATTAGAGCCCAAGCCTCCGAATATTCCATCGTGGGCCCCTGCTACCTTGGGTGGCACACCCTAGGTGCACCCACAGTCTTTGCCCATTCCTCGGGCTACCCTGGCCCTCCACAGGCCCCTAGAGATAGCTGATGTGCAGCGTGTCAGATTTCTCCCCAGCTGAGGGTTCTTGGGGTAGGAACTGATGCTCCTTGCTGGTGGTGCTGCTGGGAGGCTGCTCCTGTCCACTGGGACCTGGCTGTATGATCTGGTTGACCCGGCCATTCATCTCCCCCCGGCCCCCCTGCTTCCCTGCTCCCTCGTGCCGATCCTCCCCTTCTCCATCCTCCTCTTCCTCCTCCGTCTTCTCCGGAGGCCCCATGGGAGGCTCCTGGTTTTGCACACGGCGGGAGGGCCGCAGCAGGACCCTTCGGAAGCCCTGCTTGAAGCGGTAGGAAAGGAAGCCATAAAGGATGGGGTTGGCACAGCTGTTGGCGTAGGGCAGGGCCACCACCAGGAAATAGAGGCCGAAGAAGGCAGGCTCCTCAGGCAGCGGGCACACCACGTTGATGATGTTGAGCACATAAAAGGGCATCCAGCAGAGGACGAAGAGCGCCACCACGGCCACCACCATGCGCGTGACCTTGCGCTCAGAATGCCGCCGCCGCTGGCACGAGGGGGCCCGCACCCGCCGCCCGGCGGAGCGCACCTTGACCACAATGAGCAGGTAGCAGAGGCAGATGACCAGCAGCGGCCCAAAGAAGCCCAGCGCGGCCGTGTAGATGATGAAGCCAGCCCGCCAGGCAGCCGCCGGCTCGGGCCACTGCATGTGGCAGGTGCTCATGCCACGGGGCACGCCCGAGAAGACCACCACGGGGAGCACCACTACGGCCGAGGCCACCCAGACAGCCGCGCTGACCGTGCGGGCCACGGGCGCCGTGCGCCAGCGGGCCGAGCGGGTGGGGTGCACTACCGCCAGGTAGCGGTCCACGCTCATGACCGTGAGGCAAAAGATGCTGGTGAACTGATTGATGCCATCCACGGCCATGACCAGGCGGCACATGAGGGAGCCGAAGGGCCAGTAGGACAGGGCGTTCTGGGCAGCCAGGAAGGGCAGCCCCAGCATGAACAGCTCATCGGCCAGTGCCAGGTTGAGGATGTAGACGTTGGTGACCGATGGGGTGGCTGTCTGTCGCAGGACCACGTAGATGACCAAGGAGTTGCCCAGCAGGCCCACCACGCACACCACCAGGTAGACCAGTGGGATCAGAATGCCGCTGACAGCCAGCCCTGCTGCACTTGACGCTGCAGACACATTTCCGAGGACAGCATCTGGGGGCCAGGCCAAGGAGGTGTTCCCGGGCTCCGAGGTCGCGGGCACCAGTGAAAGAGAGCCAGGGGTGTTCATGGCCAAGAGAGGGCGGGTCAGCAGCCAGCTATTGGCCTGGAGGAGGGAGGACACAGCTTGGTCATGACTTTCTCTCCATGGCCCCTCCCCCATCACACTGAACTTGGAGACTCCCTGGGCACCTGCCCAGAGTTGGACAAGTCATTCATTTATTCTCCACAGGCCAGCAAGGGAGGCTGGCAAGGTAGCCCCACTTCTCAGACAAGAAAACTGAATCTTAGAGCGGTAAAGTGAACACCCTATACGACATAGTAGGGGTGCAGCAGGGGACTCGGGCTTGCCTGCTCCAGAGGGCAAGACCAGCAGTGGCCTGGTCCCTTCCCCTGTTCACAGGACGAGTGTTCCACAACTGTTTCAGTAAAGGGACTAGTGCATCATTCAGTCAGCTGCTGACAACACAGGTCCTTTTCTCTATACCAGCCCTTTTCAAATGCTTTTGACACCAGTGCCTTTTATATTGCAACTCAATGACGCCATACTGTTCCATAACACAATATGTGCCCTTTTTACATATGATCGCCTCACTGGCAGAGACCCAAGTGGATCACCCACTGATACAGACTGTGTCCTTCCCACCCCTAAATGATATGTTAAAACCCTGACCTCCAGTGTGATGGTGTTAGGAGGGAGGGCCTCAGTGTGGGGTGATTAGGAGACAGGGGTAGAGTCCTTGTGAATGGGATTAGTGCTCTTCTGATGAAAGGTCCCAGGTTCCCTTCTGCCATGGGAGGAAACAGCTAGAAAACAGCCAGCTGGGAACAAGGAAGCAGGTCCTCACCATATACTGAATCTCCTGGCACCTTGATTTTGGGTTTCCCCACCTCCAGAACGGTGAGGACTGAATTTCCGTTGTGTATAAACCACCCAGTCTACAGTATTCTGTTAGAGTGCGCCAGACAGACTAAGACACCCCCAACAGGTCTCAGCTCGCACACTTGAAAACACTGCTGCATGTCACCCATCCTTAACGTCGAGCCCAAGTCTCTAGATGAACTTCAGCGGATCCATAACCACTCTCCACCCCCTGCCCAAACTCCGGTGAAAGGTAACACCTCCTTGTATTTTCTGGGCAGAGCCCAGCACATTCCTCAGATTCTGAATGAAGTTAAGAACCACATGCTCAGAGGTGTCCCCTTCCATGGGAATCAAAGGCCCTGAGGATCCTCTCAGGCTGGCCCATCACACTGTGCCTCCAACAAAGGCCCTGCCCAGGATGACGGACTGTGAACCTGGGGGGTGGGCGGCTGCCGTCCCTCCTGCTCCCAAGGCTGACTGACGGTGGAGCAATTCACACACGCTGGAGGTGAGGGCAAGAATAGTCAGCTCCCCGCTGTACCGGTGGGGTGGGCTCCTCTGGGAAGAGGGCACTTCAAGGGGGCCTTGAAGTGTGAGTAAGAGCTTGCCCAGCGGCTCAGTGGGAACCAGCACCCCATCCACCGTGTGAGCACCTTCTTACTGCGCTTCTGTGTTGTGAGGAGCCAGGCCTCCTCCTGGCGTCCCTGATGGACTTGACTCTCCTTAAGCATGGAGATGCTCATATTCAGCTCTGGTCCTTTCTGGCGTCCCTTCCACACAAGTTCTGTCTCAGTGTCTGAGGCACTGAGTGAATCAGAGAAAATCCGGGTGGACAAATCTCACCACAAAGGGAGGATGAACTGCTGACGGAGGGGATCCAGGCCCTGCTGGGGGAGGGCCCCAGCCTAGGATGCCCTCGCCTCCTCAGCAGGCCTCCCTGGCTCTCTGGAGATACAGTTATAGGCCAGGACTGAAGGCCAGAGCCTCCTCTGGGACTGGACCTTCTCCCTTTTCCAAATGATGCCCCCTCTCCAAGTCCCTCGGCTGCTGGCTTCCCTGACTCCCTAGGGAAACCCCAAGGGAGAAAGAAAGCTCTCAGGGGAACCTTCCTCCAGTGTCCCCCTGCCTTCCCAGCACTAGACCTGTAATGCCTTCAGCAGGACCTATGGTCCCCACTGCCCTGTCCTGACACTGCTTTTCAGATGCAAAGCTCCTTCAGAGGGGAGGAACCCCAACTCAGAGCAGACACCTTTGGGTGGGTGAGCATGGCTGGTTGCCCTTGCCTGATGACCTGGATTTTCCAAGGACTCTGAGCAGGCAGGGCGATGCCAAGAACGGGAAAGAACCCCTTCGCCCTGGCTCCTCCTGATGCTTCCCCAGGCCGACTGGGCACAGAGCATCCCCTCCTTGCTCCTCCAAGCCTCAGGAGAGCCCTCAATCTGCCATCACCCCAGGTACTAGTTGAGGGGCAGTCTGAATGGTGGGCTCATAGGACCTTCACAGCACTGCCAGTCCCTGGTGACTGAGCCCTGACTGCCAGGCTCCAGGCTCAGCAGTGACGTGCCGCATCGTATAGGGTCTCATGAAGAAGGCACTAGGCTGTCCCCACAGTACACACAGGGACCAAATGAGGCCTTGCGCTCAGCTCACATAGTTGGGAAGGGGCAAAGCTGGGAGGATTCGTTACACCAACATTCATTACTCCATTTCACAGGCTGGCAGACTGAGGCCAGGCCTAGAGAAGGCACTTATTTTAGGATCATAACTGGTCAGGGAAACCAGCTGGCATCCAGTTTTCCTACCAGCCTATTCAGAACTCTCCTTACTGCTCCTTAGGCTCTTGAACTATTAAGATCAGGGACCCAAGTCCCTAGACCCTTAGACACTTCAAAATTGAATTTTAGAATCTGAACTGACTTGTAGAGTCATAGATTTTTAGACTCTGTGTCTTTGAATTGGAGAAAGTCAGATTTCCAGAATGCTGGAATCAGCCTTTAGACACAGAATTGTGAATCTGGGAACTTAAGAGTCCAGACCTCCTTGGCTGGGGAGCTCTACGTCACCGATCCGTCCACCTCACCTCCTTGTGTGCAGATCCTCTTTATAGCATCCCCATCAGGTGGCCAATAGCAGCCCAGGGCTGGAGGAGGGAGGCTCCTAAGAGAGGAGCAGTGAGCCAGGCAAACCTAATTTCCAGGCTGCAGGGACAGATGCCCTGGGGGAAGCCGGAGGGTGAGCTCTGAGGATGGCATCTCCTGCCCAGACACACACCTGTGTACCGCCCCCCACACACACAAACGTGCTAACACACATGGCCTTGACAGGAACACAGTGTACCAGCCAGGCCCTGCCATCGTGCAGGAGAATCAAATAGCCCCTCCCAGAGCCCCTGGCCCCCCTGGAAGACTCCCTGCCTCTGCCTTTATCTGGGCAGATCTTCCCTGTCAAAGTTTAACAGGCCAGAGTGCCAGAAGCAAGGAAATTATAGCTTTCCTTGGGTGTAAGTCAGACCTGCAATTTAGATGCTGCCTTTTAAGGAGCTGGGGTACTGTGCATGATCTGGTTCATCCTTTGGAGAAGAGGGCCTTTTTCTCCCTGTCTGGTTTATCTTTGGCACAAGCTTGCCTGAAAACCGGGGGCAGACTCCCTGGAAGACTTTTCCAGAGGAAACAAGGGTCCAAAGAGGGTGAGTGGCTGCCCTGAGCCCCATAGCAATTCAGAACGGCCCTCAGGGATGCCAGATCATTCTCCGTTTGTCTATATCCCACCCCCTTTCCTTCTAGATTGCTGGCTTTTGGGTACAGGACCCTGAGTTATTTGTACCTGTAACCCTAGCACCCAGCACAGCACCCAGGGCAGCACCCAGGACATCTGCAGATGTGAACAGACCAAGAAGTTCAGCAAGTAGAACTCAAAGCCAGGTAGGGGGATGCTCCTGGGATAGCCCTCAAACATACATCATGAGATCCTCACCAAGCCCAAGAGGGAGGGTTTTCAGAGAGGAGGAAGTTGAGGCTCAGAGAAGTTTGGTAAGTTGTACAACGTCACTCATCTGGTAAATGAGGGGCCAGAGTTGAGCTCAGTTCTGCCTATTACTAAACCGTCAGTGCCTCCTGGTTCTGCAGGCTTCCTTGAAGGCCTCGGACTGAGAGACAGCAAGGACTGAGACAGCCCTGGCCAACACAGGCTGATGGTCCCTGGCTGACTCCACATTCTGCTCTCTCTTTGCTCCCCTGGGCCTGCCCGCCAGGAAGAGGCCCAGATGGTCTGTGCCCACTTCAGACCTGACTCCCAGGAGCACAGCCCACAAGCCCACAGCCCCTAGGTTGGGGACTTAGGGTCTGCCACAAAGGAATGATGCCAAACTGCTGTGTGACCTTGGACAACTCACTTTCCACCTCTGGACCTCAATTTCCTCCTATTAAAATGAAGATGAGTATACCCACCTCCCAGGGTTGTAAAGATTAAATGGGAGTGTGCTGAGCACAGTACCCAGTCCAGAAGAGGAGCTCAGGAAAGCTGGCACTTAAGCTAAATGCCATGAAGCATCTGGTTTGTCCAGCTCCAACACTGCTGTTTTGTGATTCCAAGCTTCTGGAGTCATGATATGAAATTCCGAGATTAATGCCCACCCCCCACCCCCAGGCCCCTTCTGTCCACCAAGAGGTCACAGGAAGTCCTCTTTTCTCCCTGGGCCTTCCTATCCTCTCCCAGCCCCCAGCCCCAGCCTCCCAAGTTCATCCTGGGCAGAGGGTGGGCTCCAGCACCCCACCCTCTGGGACCCCATCCAGGCCCCAGCCTCCTTACCTGCCCATGGGGCGAGGGCTTCCCTCCTTGCAGCCAGGCTGGTTATCATTCCGCTGTCCCCTCTCCCTGCCCAGTCCCCAGGCGTCCCTGAGCACCCCTGAGCTGGGGTCCCCACACAGTGCCCACTTCTAGAATGTTGGCAGGACCGGGCCCCCTCCTAGGCCTGCAGCGGCCACGGCCACGTCTGCCCACAGAGCCACTCCCATCTGGTCTCCGGCCCTGACTTCCCACCGCCTGGTGCGTCCCCCCCCCCCCCAACTGCAGGACACGTCCTGGATGGTGGGGGGAAGGGACACAGATGGGGGGTCTGCAGGCAGGAGGCGGGGGGTGGGGTGCAGGGAGAAACCTCCCAAAGAAAAGAAGAGAAATGAGGACCAGAGCACTATGAGAAACCAATA